CCTCCCCCCAGTTGGAAACAGACTGGAATCCTCCAAAACTGGGAATGTCCCCATCGCTGTCCCCATCCCCATGCTTGTCCCTGTCCCCATCTCCATCCCCACGCCCACCGCTGTCCCCATCCTTGCCACCATCTCCATAACAACTGCCCCGTCCCCATCCCCATCCCTGTCCCCATCTCCATAACAACTGCCCTGTCCCCATCCCCATCCCCATCCCTGTCCCCATCTCCATACCTGTCTATGTCCCCGTCCCTGTCCCATCCCCATACCTACCACTGTCCCCATCCCTGTCCCCGTCCCCATCCCATCCCCGTCCCCACACCTACCACTGTCCCCATCCTTGGCCCCATCTCCATAACAACTGCCCTGTCCCCATCCCTGTCCCCATCCCTGTGCCTGTCCATGTCCCCATCCCCTTCCCTGTCCCATCCCCGTCCTCATCTCCATCCCCGTCACCATCCCATCCCCGTTCCCACACCTACCACTGTCCCCATCCTTGGCCCCATCTCCATAACAACTGCCCTGTCCCCATCCCTGTCCCCATCCCTGTGCCTGTCCATGTCCCCATCCCCTTCCCTGTCCCATCCCCGTCCTCATCTCCATCCCCGTCACCATCCCATCCCCGTTCCCACACCTACCACTGTCCCCATCCTTGGCCCCATCTCCATAACAACTGCCCTGTCCCCATCCCTGTCCCCATCCCTGTGCCTGTCCATGTCCCCATCCCCTTCCCTGTCCCATCCCCGTCCTCATCTCCATCCCCGTCACCATCCCATCCCCGTTCCCACACCTACCACTGTCCCCATCCTTGGCCCCATCTCCATAACAACTGCCCTGTCCCCATCCCTGTCCCCATCCCTGTGCCTGTCCATGTCCCCATCCCCTTCCCTGTCCCATCCCCGTCCTCATCTCCATCCCCGTCACCATCCCATCCCCGTTCCCACACCTACCACTGTCCCCATCCTTGGCCCCATCTCCATAACAACTGCCCTGTCCCCATCCCTGTCCCCATCCCTGTGCCTGTCCATGTCCCCATCCCCTTCCCTGTCCCATCCCCGTCCTCATCTCCATCCCCGTCACCATCCCATCCCCGTTCCCACACCTACCACTGTCCCCATCCTTGGCCCCATCTCCATAACAACTGCCCTGTCCCCATCCCTGTCCCCATCCCTGTGCCTGTCCATGTCCCCATCCCCTTCCCTGTCCCATCCCCGTCCTCATCTCCATCCCCGTCACCATCCCATCCCCGTTCCCACACCTACCACTGTCCCCATCCTTGGCCCCATCTCCATAACAACTGCCCTGTCCCCATCCCTGTCCCCATCCCTGTGCCTGTCCATGTCCCCATCCCCTTCCCTGTCCCATCCCCGTCCTCATCTCCATCCCCGTCACCATCCCATCCCCGTTCCCACACCTACCACTGTCCCCATCCTTGGCCCCATCTCCATAACAACTGCCCTGTCCCCATCCCTGTCCCCATCCCTGTGCCTGTCCATGTCCCCATCCCCTTCCCTGTCCCATCCCCGTCCTCATCTCCATCCCCGTCACCATCCCATCCCCGTTCCCACACCTACCACTGTCCCCATCCTTGGCCCCATCTCCATAACAACTGCCCTGTCCCCATCCCTGTCCCCATCCCTGTGCCTGTCCATGTCCCCATCCCCTTCCCTGTCCCATCCCCGTCCTCATCTCCATCCCCGTCACCATCCCATCCCCGTTCCCACACCTACCACTGTCCCCATCCTTGGCCCCATCTCCATAACAACTGCCCTGTCCCCATCCCTGTCCCCATCCCTGTGCCTGTCCATGTCCCCATCCCCTTCCCTGTCCCATCCCCGTCCTCAAAACCAGCTCAGTTAGGGCCCCAAACTGGCTTGGGATTGCCCCAAACCCAGCTCGGTCAGGGCCCCAAACCAGCTCAGTCAGGGCCCCAAACTGGCCCAGTTTGGCCCTAAAAACAGCTTGGTCGGGGCCCCAAACCGACTCCATTTAGCCCCAAAACCAGCTCATTCAAGGCCCCAAACTGGCCCAGTCTGGCCCTAAAAACAGCTTGGTCGGGGCCCCAAACTGGCCCAGGTGGAGCCCAAAACCAGCTCAGTCAGAGCCCCAAACTGGCTCAGTTTGGCACCAAACCCACTTCATTCAGGGCCACAAACCAGCTCGGTCAGGGCCACCGACTGGCTCAGTTGGACACCCAAACTGGCTCCATTTGGCCCCAAAACCAGCTCAGTTAGGGCCCCAAACTGGCTTGGGATTGCCCCAAACCCAGCTCGGTCAGGGCCCCAAACCAGCTCAGTCAGGGCCCCAAACTGGCCCAGTTTGGCCCTAAAAACAGCTTGGTCGGGGCCCCAAACCGATTCCATTTAGCCCCAAAACCAGCTCGTTCAAGGCCCCAAACTGGCCCAGTTTGGCCCTAAAAACAGCTTGGTCGGGGCCCCAAACTGGCCCAGTTGGAGACCCAAACTGACCCTATTTGGCCCCAAAACCAGCTCGTTCAGGGCCCTAAATGAGCTCGGTTGGGGCCCCAAACTGGCTCAGTTTGGGCCCAAAACCAGCTCGGTCAGGGACCCAAACTGGCTCAGTTGGAAACCCAAACTGGCTCAGTTTGGTGCCAAAACGGGCTTGTTTTGGCCCAAGACCGGCCTGGTTTGACCCCAAAACTTGGCTCAGCTGAGCCCAAAAACTCACTCAGTCAGGCCCAAACCTGGCTCATCTGTCCCCAAAGTGGCTGATCTGTCCCCAAACCGGCTCAGCTGTCCCCACATCACCTCAACTGTCCCCAATCCAGCTCATCAGACCCTAAATTGGTTGATCCGTCCCCAAACCCAGTTCAACTGTCCCCAAACTGGTTCATCTATCCCCAAACTGGTTCTTCAGACCCCAAATTGGCTGATCTGTCCCCAAACCAGGCTCAACTGTCCCCAAACCAGGCTCAACTGTCCCCAAACCAGCTCCCCAGACCCTAAATTGGTTGATCCGTCCCCAAACCCAGTTCAACTGTCCCCAAACTGGTTCATCTATCCCCAAACTGGTTCTTCAGACCCCAAATTGGCTGATGTGTCCCCAAACTGGTTCTTCAGACCCCAAATTGGCTGATCTGTCCCCACACCAGCTCAACTGTCCCCAAACCAGCTCACCAGACCCCAAATTGGCTGATCTGTCTCCAAACCCAGCTCAACTGTCCCCAAACCAGTTCATCCGTCCCCGAACTGGTTCATCCATCCCCAGACTGGCTCAGCCGCCCCCAGACCCATCTCAACTGTCCCCAAACCAACTCACCAGACCCCAAATTGGTTGATCCGTCCCCAAACCCAGCTCAACTGTCCCCAAACCAGTTCATCCATCCCCAAACCAGCTCAACTGTCCCCAAACCAGCTCAACTGTCCCCAGATTGGTTGATCTGTCCCCAAACCCAGCTCAACCATCCCCAAACTGGTTCATCCATCCCCAAACCCGTCTCAACCGTCCCCAAACCAGCTCAGCATCCCCTACTTTGGTTCCACCATCCCCAAACCAGTTCACCCGTCCCCAAACCAGTTCACCCGTCCCCCGAAGGGTCTCACCGCAGCTCCTCGGCCGGCGTGGGTGGCAGCATGGCCTGGCTGCCCACCAGCACCAGCGGTTTGGTGGCCCGGCTCACCAGCTCCGCGCACCGCTGTACCTGTGACCCAAAATCGCCTCGATCAGCCCCAAAAAAGGTGGCGGGTTGTGTGTGTGTGTGTCACAAAAAACAGCTCAGTCAGCCCCAAAACTGGTTCGGTTGGGCAACAAAACCAGCAGGGTTGGCCCCAAAACCAGCTCCACTGAGCCCCAAAACTGGCTCAGTTATTCCCAAAAATCAACTCGGCTGAGCCCCAAAACCGGCTCAATCAGCCCCAAAAAGTGGCTCAGCTGAGCCCCCAAACCAGCCCAGTTGGGTCCCAAAACTGGCTGAGTTATCCCCAAAAAACCAGCCCAGCTGAGCCCCCAAAACCAGTTTAGTTGGGCTCCAAAACCAGTTCAGCAGAGCCCCACAAGTGGCTCAGCTGAGCCCCCAAACCAGCTGATTTAACCCCAAAACTCTGCCATACC